GTGTTAAAGATCAGAGACTATAGATGGAGGAGTAGTCGCATGTTATAGTAGCATTATTTTAGCTATTATACATCTTTATGTTTAGACTTTCTGACATATGTTAATTTTACAAAACACTGAGTGGTTAAAAAAGATACTGATATCAATTAACAATCTCCTACTGTGGTCTGGTGGGCAGATTCAGACTGTGGTCCAGAGTGGGACTTGCCCCTCTAGAAGATCTTACTTCCACTGTCATTTCTATTGACCATGGAAGGCAAATGGGTATTGGACCACAAAGAAAAAATGGTACTTTTCTTTGCACAAAAGGTAGATACTCAAATAGTGTTACTCAAAGCTTGGGGAGAACACCAGAGAAACACAAGAATACTATAACCCACATACAAGATTGCCAGGCTAGTACTGAAATTCAACTCCAGACAGGTTGAACCCATTCTACTCAGAGTGAAACCTGGGGGACAAAAACGTAGGTCACTCTCTCCCCCTTGGGCACCATTGTATGTCCCCAGCATCACAATTCCATCTTTCCAAGTATGGACTGAGAGCAGCAGTTCTTCCTTCTAATGCTCCCCAGTTTTTAGTGATTGGCCTCAAAACATCCTATTCAATAGACTTTCTCTTCCAGCGGCAGCCAGTTAACTAAGTCTTAAGTTACTTTTGCAATTATCAAAGGTTAGTACGTGCACATTATAGAACATTTGGAAGTGATGTCAGGATCATGGTAAAGTGAGAAAACCCCTTTGTGTCTCCCTTTAAATCCATGTTTCTCCTTTCTAGAACATTAAAAGGTGTGTGAGATTGTGGGTATGTGTGTACATGTGCTACTGGGCAGGCAGCTTTGTCAGAAGATGAATATACCCAAACATTATGGCCGCCTTATACATTTACACTTAAAATACCTGTATTGCAGTTTTCTTCCTTCCAGAGCAATTTTTTAAATGCCACCTCACTTAGGTGTTTTTCTAAATGAATATCCTTTATGTATTATGACTTTTTTTCCAGATGGTCTGCTCTATTCCTTCTTACTTACATACTTAATCTGATGGTCTAGTTGTAGTTTCATGTTTGTTACTTGAGTTATTTTGGAAAGTTTATTTCTTGTAAGTGTTGTTTTGAGCATTAAAATATAAAAAGAGGCAATGGCTCTTGGCACACACCAGAGATTATTGAATGAGTCATGTAGACTGTTCCCTCACATGTGGAAAAATTACATCACTACTTAGTTCTGATTTTCTATTTATAATACCCTAGGCCAGATTTCACCCTCCCCAGTTCATCTTGTCTTTTATTAGGCTTTATAAAGCAAGCAGTAAAAGAAACTCACAGTAAGTTACTCTGGACTAAAAGGAAAATGCTGTGAAGAATGAGACATCTTGGCTAAGTAATACTTGAGATTTCTAGGGATTTAAAGATGTGAGCATAACTACCTGCCTTTTCATTTGCACTGTTCTCTTAATACATTTATTATGTTAATTAAAATACTACAAGGTAATTATGACATTTGATATTTTTTTAAAATCCTCACCCAAGGGTATGGTTTTCTTTATTTACTTTTAATTGATTTTAGAGAGAGAGAGGAATGGGGGGTGGGGGGGAGAGAAACATTGATGGGTTGCCTCCTGCATGCTCCCGACCTGAGATTGAACCTGCAATCTAGGTAGGTACCTGACCAGAATCGAACCAGAGACCTTTTGATGTACAGGATGATGTTCCAACTAACTGAGCCACCTGTCCAGGGCTGATTTTCTTTTCTTTTTCTAACTTAAAATTTGGTAAATAACTCCAAATTTGAAGGCTGCAGGTGTTTCTTGTTTTGTACATGTTCAGGTTTTTATTTCACTGTGAAAAAGTTAGATTTACCTCTGTTTCTTTGAAAACATAAGTATGTGGAGACATTATAGTATCACTTTAATTACTGGATGCTTTTTAAAGGGTTAAATTTTATCTAAAAATTTTGCTTTGATGTTTAAATATAAATTTAGTGAAAAGATCTTGTCCTGCAACAAACACAATGTGATCTAATTTTAATTTGGGGGAAAATCAAAACATTTATAGTGGTTGCCTCTGGGTATTGGGAATACAGGTTATTTTGTTTTGTATACAACAAGGACTGTCCAGAAAATATCCAGCCAAGTAATATGAAAAAGAGACATTTATTGAAGAAGATAAAAGATGCAAGAAACATTGTGCATAGGACAGTGATGCCTCAGCCCCCTTCAAAGTAGGCACCTTAGAACCTCACACAGTTCTCCTAGTCGCCATCAGCTGCCCTGCCGTAATTTCCTGAATCTCAACAATGTTCTAAAATCTCTTCCCTTTCAAATGTGATTTTAGTTTTGGGAAAAGCCAGCAGACACAGGGCCACCAAATCTGGGCTGTAGAGGGGCTGAATCACCTCAGTGATTTGATATTTCAACAAAAAACTGTACAAGATGTGATGTATGATCAGGGGCATTGTTGTGATGAAGCTGCCAGTCACCAGTTGCCCATAGCAGCCTTCTGAATCATCTGAGTAGTTTCCACAGGAGAATGTTCAAGCTTAATGCAAAATTTGATGCAGATTCATTGCTCTAGTCACTCAGTCATTTTGAATGCAATGGCCACACAGTACACATGCTCACTCAACATCTACCACCCCCACTGACTAGTACAGTGAAGTCATCATTGTTCACATATGCACATTCCAGTCCACTGTCCTTGCTTGCCAGGTTACATTGCTGTCGTGCAAACTGTTGTCATTATACTAACAATGACTGGTCTTTTTCCTAACAGACCTCATATGTACTTTTTTAAAAAAAGATTTTATTTATTTTTAGAGAGAGGGGAATGGAAGGAGAAAGAGAGGGAGAGAATCATCTATATGTGGTTACCTCTCATGTGCCCCCTTACTAGGGAACTGGCCCACAACCCAGGCATGTGCCCCGACTGGGAATTGAACTGGTAATCCTTAGGTTTGCAGGCCGGCACTCAGTTCACTGAGCCACATCAGCCAGGACAGTATTTTTTAAGTAAACAAGTATTACTCTTTTACAAAAGGAAGAAAAATCGATCTCTTTAGAGTGCTCTCTGAGATGTGGGCCTAGTTTGATATTGTAGTAAGGCTTCAGTGCACAATTACGGTTTTTTTGTTATTTTTCAGGTAAACTTTTAAAATCTTAATTTATGTAATTATAATTGCTTTCCAAGATTAGTGATGTTTGTTATTATGAGAAGAAAGCAGACAAATTCATCATGACAGTCTCATACATTTAACCTTCTTTTTCTCCTTATTTTGGGCCAACTGCTCAATCTGTAATCTGTGGAATTGCCTTGTAACTCATCTGCCTGCTTATGTTTCCTTGGTCATTCTCATTGCATAGGGCCGTGGGGGCCCTACCACTGGTCTCAGTTCCCTTGTGACATGGATACCTGATAGTCCAAGTAATGTGTGGTTACTTCCAAGTGATTTGAGTATTCAGAGTAAAACTAATTTTTCCAAAACAGGAATCATTCTGTTGTGTATGTACCTGCTTATTTATGACAAACCATTAGATTATGATATCTGTGCTGTTTATGAGCATTTTAATTACTGTACCATATAAAAATAGTTCAGAAGGTTTAGCACAGTCTACATTGATTTCTTCTGTTCTTTGCCTACCTCTTTAAATATCTGCAGCAAAGTACTCTGATACTTTTAAAGTGAAATGTGGAGATTAATCTTTTACAAAAGGTGCTTCTCCTTATTTCCCCCACCAGAAGGGGGGAAATGTCAGAATATCTGCCATCTTATTTTCGTAGCAGTAAATAGCTAATATCAGGCACTCATTTGAACTGCTATTAAAGCATGTTGCATGCAGTATATCTGTATTAGTCTACTGTTTTAATCTTTACATCTTTAAAATATGAAGTTATTGGAGAGATTTACAGTTGAGAAAGTAAAGGCACAGAAATGAGGTAATTTGTCCAAGACTAAGGAGCAAATGGTAGAGCCCACACAGTTAAGTATTTTATTAATTTACTGACAGTACCAGAATTTTTTTAAAGTGCTGAGATAACTGATTCCTCCTGTTCCTTTCTCCTGTTCTGTAGAAGCACAGAGGAAGATGGTCTGGTTCCTGCTTTCTTCTTTATCACATGTTGGTGGTAGAAAAGCTCATGTTTAACACAAACACAGTATAGAACAGACCCTGGAATTTGATGCACATTTCAGTTCTAGCCGTGTGTAATTCTAGGCAGGTTAATTTTATTTCTAAAGTGGCATAAAAGTGACACCTGCCTTTAAAAGAGAACATTTATAAAGGGCACAGTGAGTAGATATGCAGATGTTCAGTTTGTCTGAACATTTTGGGTCAGTTAATCTTTGTCTACTAGCCATTGAGCATTTCCCCGAAAGCAGTAATTAACAGGATCCATTCATGTCTGATTTCTTGGTGTGACATACTTAGTCACTACCTAAAAAGAAAAAAAATTGCCTACTTGGTATTTTCTCACTGATTCTAGGCTTCAAGTTTATTTTTTAGAAATTATTTGGTCAAAATATTTTTTCATCATATACATACTAAAATATAGGTGTAAGTTTAGTTCTTTACTAAGCATTTCCCTTGAAAACTTGGTAATTTTTATATTAAACCATGTACATTGGTACTGGTACCATTGTGAAGTGTTTTCTCTTTTTTCCCTTGCCTGTTGCACATTTCGTGCAAACTTTTGTTCAGGGTCATTGTTACTTTATCTTTGCACCACATGTGAATAGGTTTATTTTGTTATTTGTCTTTAATTCTTCTTTCTTCCAAGAGTTAGAATATGACTGATGATAGCATAATGTGTTATAGAGGGTTATTAGCGGATTGGCACGATGATCGAAGGAATGCTTGCGGACAAAGTCTGAGACACGATACTCAGGAGTCCAGATGTCCGTGTGCAGATTTCCTGGGAATAAAAGGGTTGAGCTGGTCATTTTAGATGGTGTTAAGTAAACCCTGTCTTGACAAGACTGTTCAGACTTGTGCTTACTTTCATAGGCGACCGGGTTATTGATGTGGGATCTGAATGGAGAACTTTCAGCAATGATAAAGCAACAAAAGATCCATCTCGAGTTGGAGATTCTCAGAATCCTCTTTTGAGTGATGGAGATTTGTCTACCATGATTGGCAAGGTAATATCAAGTGGGGCCTGACCAAAAGACCTGGGATTTTGGGAAATTTGCAAAAGTGTCAGTGAGGAATCTTGGCCTGAGAGTGAGATTTGCCAATAATACCACTGTGATTGATGGTTGCCTTATGCATTGCTTCCATCTTAAAGGGGAGGCCAACAGATCAAAACCAGGCCCTTGTTTTCATGAAGCACATTTTGCACAAAAATTAAATTAAACATAGTATGCTTTCTATGAATTTATATTGATATGTTCCTAGAACATTAGTAATGTCTTTTCTCTTTATACCACCTATAAGATAAATTGGAGCTCAATATATCATATTTTCTAGTATTGAAAATACCTAAAGCTTCACATTTTTTATCAGTAAAGTGAGAATAGTAGTTCTTCATAGCAATTGTGGGTTACATGGCAATATACATAGAGTATTTATAACAACGTGTAGTGTGTGTTCAGTTAATGTAGCAGCTATTATGTAAGACAGTAGCATAATCTTCCTACCAACCTGGCTCTTTTTTGCTCTGGTATCTAAACGGTAAATAGTACTGACATTATTCCAAAGGAAATGTATACTATTTTAGTACGTAATCTATACTAATACATAGTCTACTTTTAATACAGTTGAAAAAGCAGGTCATTATTTTTTCATGCTCTATAAATTACGTCAGATTTGAAAAACGTGGTATATACTAGGTTAAAAAGATTACGGTATTCAGAAATATCTTTAGGTGATTTTTGCATTTGCCTATATAGTCTTACAGACCGGGAAAAAACATATACTAAGGACATTTTCAGATGTAAGATTGCAGCTAATGGACATGGCAACATTTTTTAATGTTTATTTTTTTTCCAATGGGGAATAACATGGCTCAAAAACAAAAATGTAAAAATAACACAGTAAATTTTCCTCATCGTTGGTCCCCAAACTCTCTCAGTTCCCACTGCACCCCCTCTTTTCCTTGTCAGAAACAAGTAATCACTATTTTAAGTTTATCCAGTGTCCTCTGAAAGTGGTTTATGTCTACCTGGCGAAAAAGAAAGAATTTTTTTAATGCTACATTTATCATATACAGGTGAACATTGAGCAACATGGGTTAGGAGCATCAACCTCTTGCTCAGTTGAAATCCACACCTAACTTTTGACTCCCCCAAACTTAACTACTAATAGCCTTCTGTTGACTAGAACCCTTACCAATAATATAGAGTTGATTAACACATTTTGTATGTGTATTATAGAGAAAAGAAAATGTTAAATCTTAAGATATATTTACAGTACTATATGTATCTATTGAAAAAAAAATCCACGTATTAAGTGGACCTGCGCAGTTCAAACTTGGGTTACTCGAGCATCAAGTCTACTAAATTTTTTAACGTATTGATTTAGCCAAAAAGTTTGTGGGGTTTTTTTCCTTGTAAAATAAAAGACATTTTTTGTTTTTACCCACAATTTTATTGATTTGGATATTTTGAATATGTAGCTATCTCCAGAGTGGTATAACATTGATTGTTCTCAACAAATGTCTTGATTTGATCACTCTCAACTTGAAATGATCTACCTGATCGTGGAGCATCGTCCAGCAAGAAATCTCCCACAGGAAATTTTGGAAATCACTTTTGACACATTAATCAGTCACAGCATCTTCTTCATACACTGCACAAATCTTTTTTTTTTTTCTTTTGCATTTCACTTGCATTTTTACCTTTCTTGAAATAAAGCATAATATGCTGAAAGTGTCACTTTTTTCCTTTCCTCTTCAATATTAAAATGGCTACACAAAAATTCATCAATTGTAATAAAATTTTTTAAATGTACACTAATATGACAACTGTCATGATACAATCTAACAAAATTATTTCGAATGAGCTTAAAGACAACTAAGTTGCTTCTAGAGCCATCTTACAGAAAAAAACAAATGAACTTTTTGGCCGACAATATTGGGGAGCATTTCTGTACTTTCTGTCCATTCTCTATCCTTAGTCAAATGCTGTGCCACACTGTTTTAAAACTTGGTAATCTTAGCCCTCCTTCATTGCTCTTATTTTTCAACATTTTCTTCACTAGTCATTTCCACTTAAAGAATCACTTTGTTTAATAAAAACAGAAAACCCCCAAAAACTTGGTTATTTTCACTGAGATTCTGGTTACATTTAGTTGCAAACTTACTTAGGGAAAATTGACGATTTCTTGATAAAATCTTCCTATCTAAAGGTTATGCCTTTCCCTAGGTTGTATGTACCCTTTAAGAGATGTTTTCAAGTATTTTTCATGAAGGTTCTTATATGTTTCTTAAGTTGTTTCTTAGATATCTTTTTTGTTGTAATTGGAATGTTTTTCTTTCATTGTCTTCTAACTGGTTGATTTACATGTAGAAAGCTGTTGGTTTCTGTTTATTAATTTTGGTCTTCTCTAATGAATTCTCTTATTCATAGCAGTTTTTAACTTATTTTCTTGAGTATTGTAGGTAGACAAAGATAATATCTGCAAATAGTTTTTCTTTTCCGTTCTAGATTTTTTAGCAATTTTTTGCCTAATTTTAATATAGTCATAGTAATATAATTTATATAATTATGCAAAATAATTACAGTGACATTATATTGGCTAGTTTTCTAGCAGTGTTACAAAGCGGTGGTGGTAGGAGGTGCCTTTGTCTTCTGACTCTAATGTAACGTTGCAAATGTGTCTCTCTTAATCCCATTGCTGGCTTTAGGCCTGGGATGGTGATTTTCAATATGAGAAAGTACCCATTTTTGAGTATTTTACCAGATTTTTTCATAAAGCGAATTTTGAGTTGTGTTTACTTGCCTTTTTCTAACACCTTTGGAGATGATCAGTTGATTTTTCTCTTTGGGTTTATTAATATGATAATGTATATGATTACATTCTCAAATAATAGATTTTTTCAATATTGTTTTAATTGTTCAAGTAGTTTAAAAGTCTTTTACTCCCATCCCAGCCCACTCCCCCCAACCCTCCCCAAAATAATAGATATTCTTATAGTTAAAGTATTTGATAGAAAACATCTCTAAAGCCATGTTAGCCTGGCACTTTTTCTGTTCAGGAATAGGGAGGTTGCACACAGGGTAGGTTTCTTGGGTGTGTGGAGTCATGTAAGTTATGTTTTCTTAGAAATTGTTCATTTAGGTTTTCCAATTTTTTTATATAAAGTAATAAAACCTTGTTTTATAGGGCACAGGAGCTGCAAGTTTCGATGAATTTGGCAATTCTAAGTACCAGAATCGGCGAACAATGAGTAGTTCTGATCGGGCAATGATGAATGCGTTCAGGGAAATCACTACCATGGCAGACAGAATCAACCTCCCTAGAAATATAGTTGTGAGTACCTGTCTAGCTCCGTTAAGCCATTCTGGCATTGACTTTGCATAATTTAATGAACACGTGGAATTTTGGTACTGCATCTAATTAAGTGGCCTGGAGTTAATTAAACTTAGTTTCTCTGCTTTGAAGGATCGAACAAATAATTTATTCAAGCAAGTGTATGAACAGAAGAGCCTGAAGGGAAGAGCTAATGATGCTATCGCTTCTGCTTGTCTCTATATTGCCTGCAGACAAGAGGGGGTCCCCAGGACATTTAAAGGTGAGCAGTTAGTTGCACAGATAGAGTTATTTATGCCATGTTAAAGTGCGGGACCAGAGTCAAGCAGCTTTGATACCAGGTAGCTCTGTCATGTCTTTGTACTTACATGCAGTAAGCCACCTAAGGAAAAATGCCCACTGCTTTGTTCCTTGACAGGAATTCATTCTATGCTCTTACTGACCATGTTCTCTTCAGGCTGTTTTCTTGTGTAAAATCATTTTAATCCATGCAAGCCCTGTGTTCTTGGTAGTGAGGTCTTCCGAGTAATAGTGCTTTGTAAGTTCTGAGGCCAGTTAATAAGCCAGAGTGGGACTTTGCACTAAGTCTGTAAATGCGCTTCCTGGAAAACAGTTTCTGCTTACAGCCGGGTCTCTACAAGCGAGGGAGTCAACCTTAGAATGCATCAGTGAAATTGTTTCCCTTGAGTTGTATAATTTGCACTTTCACACTTAAGTTAGATACTTTGAGAGAACTCGTATTTTTCCCCCGGTTTGCAGTTTACCCATGAATACCTGACAACCTGTTCAGTGTTGCTATGAGACTTAAACTGACTTTAGCTGCCAAACTTCATTTTTTCTTAAGACTATGATTACCCTTATATATGAATGTTTGTTTTAGATTTTCATATGTCACTATGAAGAGGCAGTGACCCTTATCATCTTTTTCATTACAGCTAAAACTACAGCTTTTGTTAAATTTATTTTGAAAGTGTTTGGTAGTTGGATTTTCAGACTAACAGGGCTTGTATTTAATCTCCTGCCTGTAATTGCAGGGATGGCATGTACATGGGCATGGTGTAGCTTGAGAAGCATTCTTTATTTAGCTTGAGTATTTTCTTCATCTCCTTGATATTTTACTTATTATAGATAAGTAATTATATAGATATCAAGGAAGTTTCTGATTGGTTGAATAAACTTATTTGCATAAATTAAAACTTCAGAGATGTTAATTTTTGAAATATTAAGATCTACATTTAACTTTGGAAAAAACTCTTTAAAGTTTGATAAACATTTAAATTATACAACAAATTTCAAGCTCTAAGGGAAGTATGTATCATGGAGACATTTTTTGCAACTAGAATGTATTTTGTAATCTGGAATGATAGATTTTAAAACGAACTATATGACTTGTGATTTATTTAATTTTTTTTTATTTCTTTTAGAAATATGTGCCGTATCACGCATTTCTAAGAAAGAAATTGGCCGATGTTTTAAACTTATTTTGAAAGCTTTGGAAACCAGTGTGGATTTGATTACAACTGGGGACTTCATGTCCAGGTTTTGTTCCAACCTTTGTCTTCCCAAACAAGTACAGATGGCAGCTACACATATAGCCCGTAAAGCGGTGGAGTTGGACTTGGTTCCTGGAAGGAGCCCGATATCGGTGGCGGCAGCTGCCATTTACATGGCCTCGCAGGCGTCAGCTGAGAAGAGGACCCAGAAAGGTAGGAGAGGGAGCTGCCACAGTGACGGCTATAGTACTGAATGGAGTTTCCATTTGAGTGCGAAGCAGGTGAATAGCCAGAGCTTGCCTTTAAAAGGCAGATCCCCTTAGCATCAAAACTAAATATACACAGCATTTCCCTTTTAAGTGGCTCATAAATAAAAATGTTTGGAGGTATAACCCTTTGTAGAGACTTAACTTTTTTCCCCTTTGAATTATTTTATTTTAATTTGTAGACATTGCTGTCCTGCCCCCCGCCCCTACATTTTCCTGCGTATTTTGAATAGGGTCCCCTCCTCAAAAAAACTTAGCTTTTTAAATCTTGATGGGAGAAAGCCATGCTTAGTTTCCCGCTGCCTGGCCATCAAGCTGAAACATTCTGCAAGGCCTGTCTGTCCTCTTTCTCCTTTAGGACAGAATTCAGTTTCTTAAGGAAAACACTGGCATAAGTAGTTCCCACCTTCTAAAGCTGTGTTTGAATTTAATTTTGTTTTCAAACAGAAGTATTAAAGTGAATCTATTTACAAACATGAATTCATTCTGTTATGCTCAAAAAGATTTATAAAGAAGAAAAGAGCAGTTAATTCTAAATTTTAAAGTGTGGTAGTGAAGTTACTTGCTGCAGTAACTTTATAAAGCCAGTTCAGAACAGTCTTTCCCCCTAGCTTTAGGCAATGTTTCTATAGTGGTGAAAGTAAATTACATAGAAGAACGATTAGAAAGAAGCAGCCAACCATTAGTTATTTAAACGTGCCATTATTGATTGTTTTTGGGCTTCACTCATATTTCCTGAGGAAATTTTGAGTCTTCTGGTAGAATTTATAAGCTAAAGCAAGGCACAGATGTCCTTACTTTGTTTCCTAGTTGTAAAGTTTATTCTAATCAACAACAGAGAAATGTTTATCTTTGTACTTTCTTCTGCTTGTGTTTTACATTAACGGTTGCATTGAAATTTAAGGCCTTTTTCTCCCTAGCAGCCAGTTTATGTTCACATAGCTGACATTCATCAGTATCTCTGTATGGAATGATGTCATGTATGAAAGGGAAATTTACAATCAGTTCATTGCACACTGATGGCAGGCATCCACACTGAGAATCTGCAGAACCTCACTCATTTGCACTGACTGTGAAAAGGTGGTAAAATAAATTTCTATTGAAGGGTATGTTTAAAAAATCTGCTCTAATTGGGTATTTATAACTAACCAAATATGGCAAGTGGTAGTCCTTTCAGACTTCTTTTAATAAAAAGAAGGAAGAAAGTGATAACTTCGAAGGGTTAAAATGTATCCACTACTGGGATTCTGTAAGAGATGCAGAAAAAAACATGTGAACAGTCCTCGTGTGCACTCAGTGTGTGCTTAACTGTATTGACAGTAGTGAGAAACATACACATTTTGTTATAATACACAGCTATATGGTTTCTGGTGTACTGAGTAGGAAAAAGAAGCTGTAGAACAATATGTAGAGTGGGATTCCATTTTGGTTTTAACCATTTAACAGAAGTTAGCTGGGGGAGATGTTGCAGGGCAACCTTCAAACACAAATGATAAAGCATCTTCCCAAGATTGCACTCGCAGGTTGCTTCTGGGATCCTCAACAAGATTTACTATGAAGGAAAAGGAGATGTCAGTTCACACACGGTGACCAGTGTAGTGGTTACCGCTCACAGTGCTCTACCCTGAGCACCGGTCAAACGTGTCACACATAGTAGAACTGTTAGTACTGGTATGGTGACCCTTGGAGGCCATAAGTACTACCACCGTTGCTGTTACTAACTTTAGCCCTGCTTCCGACTTTTAGTATGTAATTCTGTTACCAGTTTTTAAAAATCAATAGTTTTGGTTTTGGTTTTGGTTTTCATTTTGGCACTTTATACAACATTCTTCCAGAAATTGAAATTCAGGTAATAGAAGGTAGTAGGATGGAAGTTACACTTTTAATATTTTGATTTTTGTCTTTTAGAAATTGGAGATATTGCTGGTGTTGCTGATGTTACAATCAGACAGTCCTACAGACTGATCTATCCTCGGGCCCCAGATCTGTTTCCTACAGACTTCAAGTTTGATACCCCTGTTGACAAACTACCACAGTTATAAACTGAGGCAGCTAATGGAAAACTCTTGTGGTCACTGAGCTCCACCTGTTGTACATAGGCTATATGAAGTGCTGGATTGAGCCTTTAATAAGGAAAAACAAAAGACATGGTACGCATTCCAGGGCTAACTGTTAATTGCTTGGCTTTATGTATGTATATACTAGTAAAACATATTTAATGATTTAAATTTCTTAGTGAATTTTGCTTTCTTTTGTAGCAGTCTAGGAAACTATTTTGGAAGATATCTGAAATTATGTAATTCTTGAATAAAACATTTTTCAAAACTAAAGTTTTTGTTATAATTACATGTTATATGTACTTTATAATATGTAATTATAAATAATGCATATTATTACAGCTAATAAAGCTGTTAGAGGTCCTTATTTTCTGTCCTTTTTTATATATATAGATTTTTTTAAAAATAAGGTCATTGGAATAGCAAAGGCTGATGACATGAAGAACATAATTATCTTGCAATTTAAAAGTTTGTGCGAGATATGTATGTGTATATATATTTATACATGTGTGTGTGCGCGCGCGCGCAAGAAGTAGCCCTGACTTGTGGCTCAGTTGGTTGGGCGTTGTCCTGCAAAACTTGAGGTCTTCAGTTCGATTCCCAGTCAGGGTACATGCCTGGGTTGTGGGCCAGGTCCCAAGTTGGGGCGCATGTGATAGGCCACTGATCAGTGTTTCTCTTACACATCGATGTTTCTCTCCCTCTCTTTCTCCCTCCCTTCCTCCCCTCTAAAAATAAATAAATAAAATATTTTAAAAAAAAACAAGAAGCGATGAACTGGACATTGAAAGGCACTGGCTTGAGAGAGAAAAAAGGTTCCATTATGTGTTTTCCTCAGTGATAGGACCAGGGATGATGCTGCTGGTATATCCATAGCAGTTCAACAGATTTCACTTTTCAGATCTTAATATTTCACATTATAGCATCTGCATATCTATAATGTTGGTACTTATTGGGATGCTATCAGTAAAGAATATTTTAAATGAAGATTATTGGGCCTGAGAATGTCCAGGAATGTTTTAAATAAGCACCCTACCTCATGTGATTGTAATGTGTAGGTGTTTTGCATATCACTTTTTGAGGAACAGATTTAAATTCCCTTGACTGTTAGGCAATATAGGCAGAGACCAACAAAATATCACTTTTTTTTTAAACCAGCTAAGTAGTTTGCTCAGGGGACTTAAATCCATACCAAACACCACCAATCCATACCAAACACCACCACTGCACTGCTTTAAAACAAGTATTGTGATTCTTGCCCATCTGTGAAGAGGCAGCACCGGATTAGGACAATTTTCTATGTGGCCTGGTGGGTGGATTCGAACTCTGACCCAGAGGGACTTGTGCCCCTGGAAGATCAGACCTCCACTGTCATTTCTACCAACCATGGAAAGGGGAATGGATACTGGACCACAAAAATGGTATGTCTACTTTGGACAAAACATAGAGCATTCAAACAGTACTGCTTAAAAAACTGGGAGAGAACCCCAGAGAAAAATACAAATAAACCAGCTACATGTTTGCAATGCTAGTGATGAGATTTATATTCCAGGCAGGCAGAATCAACCCATCCTACCCAGAGTGAGACCTAGGAAGAAGTCAGGTCACTGTCACTCTTGGGCACCATCTTTGGTCCCCTGCATCACACATCTCTGTCTTCACAAGTCCAGATTAATGGCAGCAGTCCTTCCTTGTAATGCTCCCCAGTTGCTAGTGATCGACCACAAAACATCCCATTTAGCAGACTTTCTTTTCAAGCTTCAGCCAGTTACCTAGAACTTAGAAGTTATTTTTGCAGCATCAGAGGTCAGCACCTGCACATGACAACATCTGGAGGTGACACACCCATGATGAAGTGAGAGGCCCCTTTGATCTCCCTTAAATTGAAAACTAGTTGGACATCTACAACTCAACAAGATTCCCCTGCTTAACACTAGTGTGCCTGAGAAATTCACACAGTACACTGGAAGTAGGCATGGTAGAATGCAGGATGGAGGCTATGGGGTGGGAAGGACGGGGACTGCCCATAAAGGCTTCACAGATGGTGGCAGCTGTCCCTGCAGCCCCAGCTAGTGTGGGGGAGGCGTCAGGGTGTGGCCCTACGCTAAGCCCAGTGCAGGATGAAGAGCAGGAGCAGTGTCAGCGCTGGACAACCCAGCTCTCACCTGCCATGGTGTCTGTAGCAGCTGCAACTGGTCTTTGCCTTCCAAACTGTAGTGCACAGGCCCCAGCACTACAGGGAACCGGGAAACAGCATGGCAGTTTCATGAACTCTGGAACCTTTTCACTCACCATGGTAATGCCCTGAGACTCAAGTAACCAGGACACAGCAGGCACACCCACCACCCCAACACTGCACGGACCACAATGCCCCACCCTAGTGTGTCCCCTGAGGCACCCAGTGCGGGAAAGAGAAAACAGAAACTTGTGTTATAGCGCCATCTACTGGAAAAAAGATCTATCAACCTGAATTATTAAAGTCAAATTGGTATTTGTATGAGTTTATTACCTCAAATGTGCCAAGAGAACAAACCCATCAAGCAACATGACAATTCTCCAGAAACCAAACTTGAAAGTCATGAAAGACTATGATGCAAATGATAGAAAATTCAAAATACAAACCAACAGTACAAGAAAGCTCAGAAATGTAGTAAAATAAGTTCAGGAATAAAATTAACAGAAGGAGTACTTTACCAAAGAAATTTAAACTATAAAAAAAACAAATTCTGGAGCTGAACTCAATAAATGAGATGAAGAATGCATCAGAAAGCCCTGGCTGGTGTGGCTCAGATTGAGTGTCAGCCTGTGAACCAAAGGGTCACCAGTTCAATTCCCAGTCAGGGCACATGCCTGGGTTGTGGGCCAGGTCCCTGGTAGGGGGCGTGCGAGAGGCAACCACACATTGATGTTTCTGTCCTCTTCTTCCCCTCCCTTCTTCTCTGTCTAAAGAATGATCAGAAAACACTGGAAATAGAGTAGATGATAGGAGGGGAGAATTAGCAAGCTCGAAGATAGAAATCTACAAAGAATTCAGTGGGAAGAGGAGGGAGACTTAAGGTTTCTTAAAAATGAAAGAACTCTATCAGACTATCTGACTTCATTAGAAAGGGCAACACAAGGTATGCCAGAAGGAGAAGGGAGGGAAAAGGGAACAGAAAGGGAACAGTTATTCAGAGGAATAACTGATGAGAATTTCCTAAAGTTAGGGAACAAACTGGGTATTCAAGTACAAGAGGCTAACAGAACACCTGATTATCTCAACACAAAAAGATCTTCTCCAATTGGTAATGATAAAGAATTCTTAAGAAACTGGGGGTGTGTGGAGACAGTAACCTACAAATGAAACCTCTGCAGATTATCACCAGATTTCTCAGCAGAAACCCTACAGGCCAGGATCAAGTGGAATGATATATTCAAAATATTAAAAGACAGAAATTGCCAGTCAACAATAGTATTTCCCACAGTTACCCTTTTGATATGAAGAGGAAATAAAAGTTTTCCCAGACAAAACCTGAAAGAATTTACCAGCACAAGACCTGCCTTCAAGAAATGTTAGAAGTTCTTTTACCTGAAATGAAAAGACAAAAGTACATGAACTTTAAGTGACAAACAAGCAGAAAATTGCTACTCTATTTCATTATAGAGCATTGAATATTTAATTATAATGTGAAGGTTAAAGGAAAATAAAGCATTAAAATTATACCCTGGCTGCTGTATCTCAGTGGATTGAGTGTGGGCCTGGAACCAAAGGGTTGCCAGTTCGATTCCCAGTCAGGGCACATGCCTGAGTTACGGGCCAGGTCCCCAGTAGGGGGTGCTCGAGAGGCAACCACACATTGATGTTTCTCTCCCTCTCTTTCTCCTTCCCTTCCCTTCTCTCTAAAAATAAACTCTTTTTAAAAAATTAAGTATGGGTAGTGCAATTTCGTAATGAATGCACAACACAAAAAGGGATCATTTGTGACAACAAGACCAAAGGGGAAAAGAAAGAAGATGAAACTTGTGTAGGTGAATGAAGATCGATATTATCAAAATAAAAAGGATTATTTTATCTGAGGCATTTTATACAAACCTCAGTAACCACAGCACAAAGATCCAGCACTTAAGAAACAAAATAGTAAAAAAGAGGAAATGGAGAAAAACATCATGGAAAACCACCTAACTAAAAGAGCAGACAGAAACACAAGAGAAAAGAAATACTGGAGATACAGAGCAACCAGAAAACAAAAGATAAAATGGGAGTAGTGGGTTCTCATATAGCAATGATTACCCTAAATGTAAATGGACTGAACTCACCATTCAAAGGCATGGAGTGCCCTGGCCAGGTGCTTCAGTTGGTTGGAGCATCATCCTGTACACCAAAAGGTTGCAGGTTCGATCCCCAGTTGGGGCACTTATGGGAGGCAGCCAATGGATGTTTCTCATATCAATGTTTCTCTATCTCAGTGATGTTTCTCCCCCTCTCTCTCATTCCCTCTCTCTGTGTCTCTTCCTTCCTTTCTCCCTAAAATCAATAAATATATCCTCAGGTGAGGGTTTTTTTAAAAAGGTACAGAGTAGTTGAATGAATTAAAAAAGAAGTCCCAACTCTATGCTGCCTTCAGGAGATGCATGTCAGCAACAAAAACAAACATAGGGTCAAAGTGAAGGGGTAAAAGAAAGATGACACTCCAGGGGTAGAGTATCCAGAGGAAAGTGCATGTAGCCATACTTACATGAGACAAAATATATTTCAAGACAAACAGGTAATGAAACATAGATATTGTGTAGTGATAAATGGGGCAATCCATCAAGAAGACATAACATTTAGTAATATATATTCACTCGACCTGGGAACACCAAAATATATAAAGCAATTATTAATAGATCGAAAGAGAAATAAATAACTACACAATAATAGTAGGAGACTTTAATACCCCACATACATCAATAGATGGATCATCCAGACAGCCAACAAGGAAACATCTGCACTAACTGACATTAGACCAGGGGGGACTGAGGAGATATAGAACTTCCTATTCCCAAGTGACATAATACACATTCTTTTCAAGTGCACATGGAACATTCTCAAGGATAGACCATACATGGAGATACAAAACAAGTCTCAGTAAATCAGTGAATTTTAAATAGCATGCTACTGAACATCTTTTGGGTCAATGAAGGAATTTAAA